GGGCTCAGGCAATCCACTCACCTCGGCCTCCCAAAGTGCTGGGATTATAGACTGAGCCACCGAGCCCAGGCCATTCCCATTTTTTTTGTGTGTGTGTGAACTGAAAAACAGTCCAAATTCTGAATGTTAAGTGTAAGAAAAAATTAAATGGTGTGTCTGTATCTTCCCTACCAAGTGAGTTTTAAAGTAAAAATAGACTGGGTGCAGTGGCTCACACCTGTAATCTCAGCACTTTGGGAGGCAGAGGTGAGGATTACCTGAGCCAGGAGTTCAAGACCAGCCCAGACAACTCAGTGAGACCTCGTCTCTACGACAAATAAAAACATTAGCCAGACATGGTGGTGCATCCCTGTTGTTCCAGCTACTTGAAGGCTGAGGCGGAAGGATCACCTGAGCCCACCAGGTCTAGGCTGCATGCCACTGCACTTCGGCCTGGGCGACAGAGTAAGACTCCAACTGAAAGAAATAGAAAATAAAAAAACTAAAAATAGACAAAATAATTAGAAATATCAATCTCTAGAAGGGTTATAGTAAGTGAACAGTTATCCACGGTCTCCAGAATGTTCCTACATACTGCTACCTTAAATTCAACCTCCTTTTCCTTAATCACCAACTTGTGATGGAGAATTAGTTGATATGTACTTTCCTTAGAAATATTGTTAAATTCTAGGTAGTCATCTTAACTCCAGCTGTATAAGCTGTTTTGTTTGTTTGTTTGTGGGGTTTTTTTTTTGAGTCAGAGTTTCACTCTGTCGCCCAGGCTGAAGTGCAGTGGCTTGCTCACAGCCACCCCAACCTTCCAAGTAGCCAGAACTACAGTTGCGTGCTACCACGCTGGCTAATTTTTTAATATATTGTGAGATAAGGTCTCACCAAATTGCCCAGGCTGGTCTCGAACCCCTGGGCTCAAGCAATCCTCTCGCCTCAGCCTCCCAAAGTGCTGGGATTATAGGCCTGGGCCACTGTGCCCATCCTGTATAATCTGTTAATGAGGTGGAGTCTATATCTTATTTTATCAATAGAACAATAATAGATAGATAAATATTTGTTTAAATAGGCATCTCTATCCTTTTGGAAGAGGTCATTGGAGTATTTTGTATTGGTGTGATTCACTTGACCCTTTTCCTTTAACGTGTCGATGAAAAATTTTATTCTTATGAACCAAGTACTATTCGTGTATATAGGAAATAAATATTACCTTTTAAAGGGCTGTTGTGTTTTTTTTTTGTAGTATTGCTACCAGTAGTGCCGTTTCCAAGGAGCTCACCAGACTTTTGAAGATACCTGTTGACACTTACAACAATATTTTAACAGTCTTGAAATTAAAACATTTTCATCCACTCTTTGAGTATTTTGACTATGAATCCAGAAAGAGCATGAGTTGTTATGTACTTAGTAATGTTTTGGATTATAACACAGAAATTGTCTCTCAAGACCAGGTAAGAGAATACTCTACTTGATATTTTAGGGAAACTGTTGTTAACATTTTAGACCTTAGGATACAAGAAGGGGATCCTTTGCTGCTAAAGAAAAGTAGCTTATATCAATTAGAAAAGTGGAGATGTATAAAGAAGAATTATAAAACATTTATGAGGCCAGGCACGGTGGCTCATGCCTGTAATCCCAGGCTGAGATGAGAGGATTGTCTGAGCCCACAGGTTCGAGACCAGCCTGGGCAACTTGGCGAGACCTCATCTCTACAATAAATCAAAAAATTAGCTGGGCATGGTGGTATGTGCCTGTAGTTTCAGCTACTTGGAAGGCTGAGGCAGAAGGATCGCCTGACCCCAGCAGGTTGAGGCTGTGGTGGTTGTGAATGTGCCACTGCACTCTAGCCTGGGTGACGGAGTGAGACTCCAGCTCAAAAAACAAAAACTTATAATTCCACCAGAAAGGAATAACCACTGTTCATTAACATTTGGTGCATCCCTTTCCAGACTGTTGTCCATAGATGTGTGTATTGATGTGCCTGTATCAACTTTCTCACCAAAAAAAAGGAATTACCTTGTTGACACTGTTTTGTAACTTTACAAACATTTGGCAATGGTTTTATAATGTGATAGTTTCACCTCAATGGGTTCCTTGTATCTCCCATGTTATAGGTGGATTCCATAATGAATTTGGTGTCCACACTGATTCAAGATCAGCCAGACCAACCTGTAGAAGACCCTGATCCAGAGGACTTTGCTGATGAGCAGAGTCTTGTGGGCCGATTTATTCATCTTCTGCGGTCTGAGGACCCTGATCAACAGTACTTGGTATGAATATTGTAGCCTTCGCCAGCTCTTTATGAAATAATGTATGGAAGTGCCTAGAATGGTTAGATTCAACTCTGGTCTTAGAAGGTTTTGAAAGAATTGCGGCTGAGAGACTGGGTGCTATGGCTCACACTTATAATCCCAGTGCTTTGGAAGACTGAGTTGGGGGGATTGATTACTTGAGGGCAGGAGTTTGAGACCAGCAAGAATTGCAACTAAATTAAAGATGATATCCGTGAGCTTTTACTTTATATATAAACATATAATTGTTTGTAAATTTCAGGAGCATGTAAGGAAGTCACTTGCTGTCTTGAGAATTACAGAAAATTCTGTCTTCCTTTATGGGTATCTTATAATTATTCCATGTTCATTTTTTTTCTGAACTGTGTATTACTTTTAGAAGTGTTTATTTGCTTATTATAATAAACTTTAAAATATAAGAAACAACTGGGCACGGTGGCTCAAGCCTGTGATCCCAGCACTTTGGGGGGCCAAGGCGAGAGGATTGCCTGATCTCAGGGGTTTGAGACCAGCCTGGGCAACTTGGCGAGACCTCATCTCTGTAATAAATCAAAAAAAGTTAGTGGGGCATGATAGCCTGCGCCTGTAGTTCTAGCTACTTGGAAGGCTGAGGCAGACGGATCACCTGAACCCAGCAGGTCGAGACTGTGGTGGCTGTTAGTGTGCCACTGCACTCCAGCCTGAGAAACTGAGTGAGACTCCAGCTCAAAAAAAAAAAAAAATGTGTGTGTGTATATGGTTTCATATATATGTGTGTGTGTGTGTGTGTGTGTGTGTGTGTGTGTGTGTGTGTACATATGCATATATATATCTCCAGGTTTTACAAATATGAGTTATATTTATCACATTGAAAATGTGTGAAAGATTTAAACATTCAATTTGCCTTTTCCTTGTCCCTTTGTTCCTGATAAAGAACAATCAGATGAGGGTCTTGCTTTCTTTATCATTAGTCCTCAGTAAATCTTTGTGAAATGAACAAAATCTGTTACTTGAATGTAGGGGTATTGGTGACTGATACTGGATAACTTACTTTAGTGAAGAGTAGCATCATTGGCTGCTCAGTTATTGTTTGGGCAAAGTAGTTTAACTATTGTTGGATGCATAAGACTCTTAGGCTGCTTTGAGAAAAATACCTTTGCTTGAGGATATGTTCTGACTTTCTCCTTCTGTTGACTTTATTTGTGGTAGTTGACACTGTTGTACTTCTTCATAATCAGTGTGAAATAAGAGGCTGACTTTAGTTGGTAGTGTGGATAGTCTTTGCCTTGGCTTAATGACAGACTTTTTGAGCATTATGGTATCACATTCTGTGAGCTATGTGATCTCTACTCAGTGACTGGTTGTCCAAGTATTTTAACTGATTCCCTTCTGTTTCTGTCTGTCGTGATGTGAAGGTGTGTGTTTGAGTTTTCATTTTCTGTTGCATACCAAATGTAGTAGCTAGGAGGTATGTCTTTCACATATGTCCTTTTGGTCATTACCTTGTTCAGAGACCTTTCAGAATAGGATCATTAGTGCTGACTGCTCCAAGTGGAAATGAGTACATTCTTTTAATCATCTGCCATATTACAGTCACAAAACCTGAATATGCCACACACTTTAAAAAGTATTTCGTAGCCGGGCGTGTCTGAAATCCTAGCACTTTGGGAAACAGAGGTGAGAGGATTCCCTAAGTCCCAGGGTTCGAGACCAGCCTGGGCAACTTGGCGAGACCTCATCTCTACAATAAAAAAAAAAATTAAAAATTAGCATATGTGGTAGCACGTGCCTGTAGTTCCGTCTACTTGTAAGGCTGAGGCGGAAGGATTGCCTGAGCCTAGCAGGTTGAGGCTGCGGTGGCCTTGAGCTTAGCACTGCACTCCAGCCTTTGTGATGGGGTGAGGAAAAAAAAATGTAGTTCATGGATTCTATGATCTTCTTGTAGTTTTTTTTTCTGAAGTAACCATACATTTATTTTTCAGTGGCTCTTTTAATTGGCTCTTGATTTAATTGATCTTAATATTTTCTGAATAATAATAATAATGTCTTAATATTTTCTGAATTTTCATATGCCAATAGTATGAATACAGCTGTTTCGTATCGTAATAATAGTTAACATTTTCTGAGCACATATTTTGTGCTAGGTACAGTAACACGTTTTATTTGATCTTTCCAGCAACCTTAGGAGAAGTTTACTACCCCATTTTTCAAATGAAACTTGTGACTAAAAGGAGATAAATAACTTGCCCAGGGTCACACAGTAGCAATTATTGCAGTCTACTTTTAAGTATGAGTCTGTCTTCAGAGCCTGCATTCTTTATCAGCATGTATGTTTTGTACATGTGTGCATGAAAATACACTTAAATATATCTCTGCTTCTGGCTAGCTACCTTGTGGTAGGTCACACATCCCTATGAACCTCAGGCCTTCTCGTTTGTGAAATGGGGTTAATATCTGGCTCTAGGGTGATTGTGACAACCTTGGGAGACTATATATATGTAAAGTGCCTACTGTAAAGCCTAGTTCATTGTATGTATTTATAAAATGGTAGCAATGATGATGACTAGAGCCCTCATTGAATTTTATAAATGATTGATCATAGTGTGGAAAATATTCTTAAAACTTTTTTTTGTCAGATTCTAAACACAGCACGAAAGCATTTTGGAGCTGGTGGGAATCAGCGGATTCGTTTCACACTGCCACCTTTGGTATTTGCAGCTTACCAGCTGGCTTTTCGATACAAAGAAAATTCTAAAGTGGTAGGTTTACTTTTAAGTCTGTCACAACTGTTTTTCCTTTTTCCCACTGTGTGTGTGTTTTATATTATAGAAAGTTTCAAACACACACAAAAATAGACAGTGATATAAAAAAAATCACCATTTTCAGTAACTTTCAATTTGTTACTCATCCTGTGTTGTGTTCCTAACAGTGATGTTGGTGGATCACATACTAGCTGAGGAATCACATAAAAGCACTTAAAAATGAAATATTAAAACAGTTTAAATGTATGCTAGAACTTTTTTCTATGTTCTAATTCAGATTAGCTTTGCCTAATGGAAAGGCCTAGCATTGCGTAGTTGTTTCTTTCTAAAAGCATGTAATGGAATAATGTCATGAGTTCTGTTGTGCAATTTTTTATGAGCTTATTTCTTCCCCAAACAGAATCATGGCTTAAGTCTTCAGAGGTGTAATTTTGAAGAAAATATTTCAGTCTCATGTACCTGAAAGTTAGACAGTCAGTTTTATGTTAAGGAATAATCTCCGTAAACTTAATTTCCTAATAATGGAGAAAAAAGATTTATAGCAGCTTTTGGCCAATTTTTATTAGACCAGCTTCTCATTTGATAGGTGTTTGTGAATATAACAATAAAAATAGCAACTAGCCTGTATTAAAAAGCTATAATCATTAAAACAGTACAGCAACATGGTACTGTATTTAAAACAGACACACAGACCAATAGACAGGATAAAGTCCAGAAATAAACTCCATGCGTGTGCAATAAACTAATCTTTGATAAGAGCACCAAGAATACACATGGGGAAAGGATAGTCTCTTTGGATAGTCTCTTCGATAAATGGCATCGGGAAAACTGGATATATAAAACCACTAGAAGAAAACATAGGGGAAACCTCCTTGACATTAGTCTTAGTAATGATTTTTTGGATCTGGCACCCAGAATATAGGGAACAAAAGCAAAAATAAGCTTTTTTTGGGGGGCTACATCAAACTAAAAGGCTTCTGAACACAAAGAAAATTTCATCAGCAGAGTGAAGAGACAACCTACAGAATGGGAGAAAATACTTGCAAACCATACATCTGATAAGAAGTTAATATCCAAAATATATAAGGAATTCAGATAACTCGATAGCAAGGAAATGAATAACTTGATTTAAAAATGGATAAAAGGACCCAAATAGACGTTTTTCCAAGGAAGACACACAAATGGCCAAATAGGTATTTGAAAAGGTGCCCAACATCACTAATCATTTGGGAAATGCAAATCAAAACCACCATGAGATATCATCACCTCATACCTGTTAGAATGACTATTATCTAAACGAAAGAGATAACAAGTGTTAGTGAGGATGAAATCGGAGTCTTGCACTGTTGATGGGAATGTAAACTAGTACACCGTTGTGGAAAACAGCCATTTGTGACATTATGGATGAATCAGTAGGACATTATTCTAAGTGAAATAAGCCAGACACAAAAAGACAAATACTGCAAGACTTCACTTATATGGGGAATCTTAAAAAATAAAATAAAAGTTGAACTCATAAAGCAGAGAGTAGAGTGGTGGTTGCCAAAGATTAAAAACTTTTAGTTATAAGATGAAAAAAGGCCGGGCTCGGTGGCTTAGCCTGTAATCCCAGCACTTTGGGATGCCGAGGTGAGTGAATTGCCTGAGTCTGCAGATTTAAGACCCGCCTGGGCAACTTGGCGAGACCTCATCTCTACAATAACTAAAAAATTAGCTGGGTGTGTTAGCGCGCGCCTGTAGTTCCAGCTACTTGGAAGGCTGAGGCAGAAGGAACACTGGAGTCCAGCAGGTTGAGGCTGTGGTGGCCGGCAGCGGCCACTGCACTCCAGTCTAGGTGACAGAGTGAGAGTCCAACTCAAAAAAGAAAAGATGAAAAAAACATAGGGATTAAAAAAAAAATTAGGGCAAAAATTAAAAAGCAACTAGCATTTACTAACTATGTGCCATACACTATGTCAAGGACTTGGATTGTTGCATTTAATCCTTGTAACAAGTGTATGACTGGCATTTTTAAAAGTGAGCTGGTTGCTGTAGCAAGAAGAAATTTCAGTGGCCAAACATGATAAAATATTTAAACTCACTAGTGATTACATCAATTAACTTTTTAAGAATCATATTGGCAAAGAAATAAGAAAATAAGGTTTGGCAGGGGTGTGAGAGAATAATGTTGAGAATGTGAATTACTACAATCTTTCTAGAAAGCTAACAGTATGTAACTAGAGTGTTAAGAGAGCCAATAATTCCACTTCTAATGATTTATACTAAAGAGATAGGATCTCAGTGAAGTTTTGTGTATACACACCATTCCTTATAGTATTACAGATTACTCCTAAAAGCAAATAGTTAAATAAATTATGCTATATCCAGTTTGCGGAATATTTTCTAGTCACTAAAATTATGTCAGGCCGGGCACAGTGGCTCACACCTATAATTCCAGCACTTTGGAAGGCTGAGGTGAGAGATTTGCCTGAGCCCACGAGTTCAAGGCCAGCCTGGGCAACTTGGCGAGACCCCATCTCTACAATAAATCAAAAATTATCAGCCAGGCTCGGTGGCTCAGCCTGTAATCCAGCGCTTTGGGAGGCTGAGGTGAGTGGATTGCCTGAGCCCACGGGTTCGAGACCCGCCTGGGCAACTTGGTGGGAACTCATCTCTACAATAATTCAAAAAATTAGCCGGGCATGGTTGCGCAGGCCTGTAGTTCCAGCTACTTGGAAGGCTGAGGTGGAAGGATCGTTGGAGCCCAGCAGGTTGAGGCTGCAGTGGCCGGGAGTGGCCACTGCACTCCAGTCTGGGCGACAGAGTAAGACTCCAACTTAAAAAAAAAAAATTATCCAGGCATGGTGGTATATGCCTGTAGTTCCAGCTACTTAGAAGGTTGAGGCAGAAGGATCGCCTGAGCCCAGCAGGCTGAGGCTGCGGTGGCCATGAGCTCTCCCTCCAGCCTGGGTGACAGAGTGAGACTCCGACTCAAAAAAAAAAGTGATGTCAAATTAGTATCTTGAGGAAAATTGCTATGCCAAATAGGTGAAAGGAAAGTTAAATACACTTTTTAAAAAGTATGATTTCAATTTTATTTAACTCTTTTCAGTAAGCTAAACAATAAAACAAAACCATACACAGAGATCCCAGTTGCCTTACACTTACATAGAAAAAAATACATCAGTATCAGAATATTGCCAGTGATTGTCACTGGGTGGCAGATTTAGTGATGATTTATGGGTGATTTTGTGTATTTTTCTAATTTCCCCAGTTTGGGAATTTGACTTTTCTGATCAGAAAAAACAAATATCAAATATATTACAATTGCAAAGGCAGCAACCTTAAAGGGATGATATCCTGCTAGGTTTACTTCTGTGCTCTGTAAATGAGACAGAGAAGGAAAATAACAGAAAAACTGTGAGCTCAATTTAGCGCTTTCTTTTGTTCTAGTAAAAGCTTTAAATAAAATGGATATTCTGGAACAAGTTAATTTTGAACTTAAGGTAACTTAAAATATTTTTTCTTGTTTTAGGATGACAAATGGGAAAAGAAATGCCAGAAGATTTTTTCATTTGCTCACCAGACTATCAGTGCTTTGATCAAAGCAGAGCTGGCAGAATTACCCTTAAGACTGTTTCTTCAAGGGGCACTAGCTGCTGGAGAAATTGGTTTTGAAAATCATGAAACAGTGGCCTATGAATTTATGTCCCAGGTGATGATCTGTTCTGCTCTCTGGGCTGTCTAATCAGTGCAGGGTACATCACTTGTTTGTGGTTATGGTGGTGGTACACATGGCTTCACTCTGTTCAGTGAATTTATAATTACTGCTGCCTGGTATGGAGCAGCAGATGGATCAGTTGCTGAGTAATGATGAAATCTAAGAATTCAAGGCCAGTCAGGGTGACTCACGCCTATAATCCCAGCACTTTGGGAGGCTGAGATGAGAGAATTGCCTGAGCCCATGGGTTCGAGACCAGCCCGGGCAACTTGGTGAGACCTCATCTCTACAATAAATCAAAAAATTTGCCAGTTGTGGTAGTGTGTGCCTGTAGTCCCAGCTACTTGGAAGGCTGAGGCAGAAGGATCACCTGAGCCCAGCAGGTCGAGGCTGTGGTGACTGAGCATGCCCCTGCACTCCAGCCTGGGCAACAGAGTGAGGCTCCAACTAAAAGAAGGAAATCTAAAGTTTCTAAGTGGGTCATGGTAAAAATGTTTCTTGGGGAAAAGTTCCTTTGTCTGTTGCACTTGGGAACCCTAGATTAAACAAAGTTGAAACAGGTTTCTTTATTGCAACTTGTCAGCATTTTGACCATCTCAGCTGGGTTTTGTACCTTTCCAAGAGTAGGTACAGCACGTCCTGATATGAAGGGTCTACAGAACACAGGATGGGAGGTCGGTGTGAAGGACTTTGGAAAACACTCAAGTAGTGGATGGTCAGTCCCTCAGAGTCCTTTCTGCTTTGTGTTCACTAGGCATTTTCTCTATATGAAGATGAAATCAGTGATTCCAAAGCACAGCTGGCTGCTATCACCTTGATCATTGGTACTTTTGAACGGATGAAGTGCTTTAGTGAAGAGAATCATGAGCCCTTGAGGACTCAGTGTGCACTTGCTGCATCCAAACTTCTGAAGAAACCTGATCAGGGCCGAGCTGTGAGCACCTGTGCACATCTCTTCTGGTCTGGCAGAAACACAGACAAAAATGGGGAGGAGGTAAGATCATTCCTGACCAGGCTTGTTAACAGGGATTGGAGCTGGACATGGTGGCTCATGCCTATAATCGCAGCACTTTGGGAGGCGGAGATGAGAGGATTGCCTGAGTCCATGGGTTCGAGACCAGCCTGGGCAACTTGGTGAGACCTCATCTCTACAATAAATCACAAAATTAGCTGGGTGTGGTGGCATGCACCAGCTACACGGAAGACTGAGGCAGAAGGATTGCCTGAATTCAGCAGGTTGAGGCTGCTGTGGCCATGAACATGCTCCTGCACTCCAGCCTGGGCAACAGAGTGAGACTCTCAACTCAGAAAAAAAAAGCAGGGATCAGTTGTCATGGCTTCATGCTCTGAAGGTGAAACCTCTGGGGTGCTTGGAAATCTGACAAGGAAAATTGCTTTGTTTTGTTAAAAGAAATGAAGTGGAAAGTTATGTAGAGTCTTGTCCTGTGGCAAAGTCTCCACCTTGAGGACGTTGTAACATAGCAAGTTTATACCACTGTCTGTTTTTTAAAAATACAGCTGTAGGCTGGGCACAGTAGCTCAGCCTGTAGTCCTAGCACTTTGGGAGGCTGAGGCGAGAGGATTGCCTGAGCCGGGGGTTTGAAACCAGCCTGGGCAACTTGGTGAAACCTTGTCTCTACAATAAATCACAAAAAAAATTAGCCAGGTGTGGTGGCATGCGCCTGTTGTTCCAGCTACTTGGAAGGGTCAGGCGGAAGGATCTCATGAGCCCAGCAGGTTGAGGCTGCAGTGGCTGTGAGCAGCATGCCACTGCACTCCAGCCTGGGTGACAGAGTGAGACTCCAACCCCCCCCAAAAAGATACAGCTATATACTTTTAAAAAGAAGAATGAAGATGATTTAAATTGTTGTGTCCCTATAAACACGAAGGAGCACTATAGTGTTGTGTGTCTTTGATGACAGCAGAATATTTGTGGTTCATTAATCTCTTTACTGTCTCCTTGCCCGTTTATAGCTTCACGGAGGCAAGAGGGTAATGGAGTGCCTAAAGAAAGCTCTGAAAATCGCAAATCAGTGCATGGATCCCTCTTTACAAGTGCAGCTTTTTATAGAAATTCTGAACAGATATATCTATTTTTATGAAAAAGAAAATGATGCGGTAAGTGAATTAGTATTGGTAGTGAACTGTTTTCCCTTTCTCTCTTAGGAGATTTAATACATAGAAAAATATTTCTCGGCCAGGCATGGTGACTCAAGCCTGTAATCCCAACACTTTGGGAGGCAGAGGCAAGAGGATTGCCTGAGCTCGGGTTTGATACCAGCCTGAGCAACAGGGCAAGACCTCATCTCTACAATAAGCCAAAAAATTAGCCAGACATGGTGGCACATGCTTGTAGTTCCAGCTACTAGAAGGATCACTTGATCCCAGCAGGTTGAGGCTGTGGTAGTCATGAGTGTGCCACTGCACTCCAGCCTGGGTGACAGAGTGAGACTTGACTCAAAAAAACGAAAAGTATTTGTCATCTCTTTTGCTTAGGAATATTATAAAAAGTAATCACTGTCTTGAAAAAGACAAAAAAACTTACAAATGCCAAAGTGGAGCTGATTCGTAATAATGTTCTAGTTTAGAATAAATCCTAAATGCATTATCGTTTCAGCAATATGGTGGTGGTAAAGATTTGTAGTTTTGAGGTTTTTTTGTTGTTTTTTTTTTTTTTTTATGAATAATCAGTAGGAGTTGTAATGCAAACCAAGAATCATGTTCTAATTTTTCTTTTTTCATAATTACTCAGGTAATTGATGAGAGTAATATAAGCTCCTGAAAACCATTTTATTAAATTATCTTTTATTTGTGGTACATGCTTGATCATGAAATTGTACATATTCTTTTGCAGGTAACAATTCAGGTTTTAAACCAGCTTATCCAAAAGATTCGAGAAGATCTCCCAAATCTTGAGTCCAGTGAAGAAACAGAGCAGATTAACAAACACTTTCATAACACGCTGGAGCATTTGCGCCTGAGACGGGAATCACCAGAATCTGAGGGGCCTATATATGAAGGTCTCATCCTTTAAAAAGGCAGCTGCTCATCGTACTCCTTTCTGTGTACATCCAGTAAGGGTTCTGTAATACTAGGTTTCCCTTCCATAGACTGTGCCTTTCAGAAATGCTGAGGTAGGTGTCTCGTTTCTTACCTGTGATGTGTTTTACCCAGCACCTCCGGACACTCACAATTCAGGACCTTAAAAAAGTTATTCACTTCATAAGTGTTCAAGTCTGCCTGGTCACCCCAAGTAGCATGATTGATCTGCTATTTAAAATTCCTGTAATCTGTGAAAAAGACCACACACTTATCTCAGCTACTAATGAAGCTCTCCTTCCTTTTTTTCTGTTTTTTTTTTTAATCGTTGATTGTGCATTTTCTTCATTACTGGGGAGTACTAACCCAAGAGTGTGTCTGTCTCTTTGTTCCCTACTCCAATTTGAGATTAATTTAGAGGAAAGGAATACTGTATGTGAAATTCGCTTGGACTTTTCCCTAAATGCAAGATAAGGCCATGTGTAATATTTTCCCTAAAACTAGAATATATTAATGCATGTTTGGGAATTTTAAAGCACCATGATCAAAACCAGAAGCTATATTTTGCATATTTGGACTCAGCCATCCATTAAGAACCTTTGATGTCATTTGGACATATTTATCAAAATATTTTGGTTCTGAATAGTATAAAATAGAAAATTTGTGATTTATATGATTTATGTGTAACCATTACTGTAAATTTAGCAGAAAATGCATCATGATTTTGTTGTTGTTGTTTTTTTTCCCCCACCAGTGGAACAATAAAGTTGCTATTAACAATTTTGGACCTCTTTTTTTCCTTTCATAGTACGTTGATTGAGAAAAGGAACTAGTAGAATGCCTATGGAGTTTACTAGACATACTCACTATTCACAGATCTACTTACTCAACTCCAGTTTTTTGTTTGTTTGTTTGTTTGTTTGTTTTGTTTTTTTTGAGTTGGAGTCTCACTCTGTTGCCCAGACTGGAGTGCAGTGGCCGCTCCCGGCCACCGCAGCCTCGACCTGCTGGGCTCCGGCGATCCTTCCACCTCAGCCTTCCAAGTAGCTGGAACTACAGGCATGTGCTACCACGCCCAGCTGATTTTTTGATTTATTGTAGAGATGAGGTCTTGCCAAGTTGCCCAGGCGGGTCTCGAACCCGCGGGCTCAGGCAATCCACTCACCTCAGCCTCCCAAAGGCGTGGGATTACAGGCTGAGCCACCAAGCCCGGTGACTCAAGAATATTTAAGCTTGATTGAAGAAGATGGGTCAGAGGTAAAATAAAGTCAGTATAGGGTATAAAGTATCTCTCATTTTCTGGGTTGAGGTAATGAGACCAGATTTTTAAAATAAACCAAAGCACTGCTAATATTCTTACATATTTCTTTACTAAACAAAAATTGAGGCTGGGCGTGGTGACTCAAGCCTATAATCCCAGCTCTTTGGGAGGCCGAGGCGAGATGATTGCCTAAGCTCAAGTTTGAGACTAGCCTGGGCAACTTGGCAAGACCTCATCTCTACAATAAATGGGGAAAAAAAAAGCTGGGCGTGGTGGTGCATGCCTGTAGTTCCAACTACTTGGAAGGCTGAGGCCGAAGGATCACCTGAGCCTAGAAGGTCGAGGCTGTGGTGGCCAGGAGCGTGCCACTGCGCTCCAGCCTGGGCAACAAAGTGAGACTCCGACTGAAAAAAAAAAAAAAAATGACCACCTTTATATGCCAAATACAGTCAGGCATTAAAGATGAACAAGATATTGGGCTATAGCCTCAAGAATTTCAGTCTAGGGTGAAGACAGACCTGTGGTTACAGAATATGATAGGGCTATGTGCAGGAGAGCACTGGAGAGGGGTTTTCAGGGGTTGGGGGTGTTGGGGAAATCCTGGAGAGGTTGTAGAATTCTCCTGGAACTTCGAGTCCAATCGCCTGTTCAGCCTTGTGAGATTAATGCTTGACCTGCAGTCCCAAGCTACTTGGTGATCTGTGGACAGAAGCAGGTTAAACTCTTCACTTTCTGTAATGAAATATTTAAAGCTTAACATAGCATTTAAAAACTCACGTAGCAGTTCAACAGAGTGATTAGGTTTATTAAATGTAATGATAAAAAAGTTGAGGTTTGTGTTTTGTATTTCTGTTACCCCCACCTCCTTTTCTAGTAATTTATATTGTATCTTACAAAAAAGTACCTGTCAGTAGATGGGGAGATGCCTTCACAGATGAATAGAAGTGCTGAACCAAAGCAGGCTTGATGCTGAATGGCATTAAATTCCAAAAGTAGGGGGTAGTCGAAGAAGGACACAGCTAGTAAGGTAATGCAAGTGGTGGACGAGAGATGTCTATACTGTCTTAGACATTTTTGTTTTCACCCAGAAGAAACCAGTGAGTTTGAGAGTCCAGATGACTACGTCTTCACCTATAAATTCATGCTTTTGACCGATCTTCAAGCTCTGAGCCCTCATCAGGTTAATGAACTAAGATTCCGTCCTGTCCATTAAGGGTCCTGGCTAGACCATAGGCTGAGAGATGCAACTAAAAGAGGGAGATGTTTGACTGATCAGTCTTAGAATAGTTCGAAGGAGAATGATGAGTGACTAATACAGTTCATGGGCAACATGACCATTGAGAAATGCGACGGGCCACAAAAACCCAAAGCTCCGTCACAGGCAGTGGGGGGTGGGGGGGTGGGCATTTGAACACAAAGTCTAGATTCCAGAGGGGTCTTCAGGTTTTTTTTGCTCTCATTCTGAGAGTTTCATTCTGAGATTTGCTCTCATTCTGAGAGTCCAAGGTAATTAGCTCAAGCAGAATGGAGTTGAAAGAATTTCCCAACAAAATTATCTTGGGTAATGGGAATTCTAGCCCACATATTGTAAATGAAAGGTGCTGGGAGAAGAAATGTCTGGAGAAGTGTTTCCCGTTTGCCAGAGTTGGTCCTACAGGATTCTCCGAGGATATAACCTCAGACACCAAATCAGGTGCCAATATCTACATTTGCTGGACACTTGAGTTCCCCAGAGTAGTGACCTGCCCTAAATTTGATTAAAGGCAAACATTTCCTGGTTGTGGTGATTCAAAACAAGTTATGTGGAAGTGGGCTTGGATAGATCTCATATGCTGTTCACTTCTCTGGGTTACCCTTGCAATGTACCCCAAAAAACTGGGTCCATGCTTCCATAATCTCTGGAGACTGTATATTTCACAACACATTGCAATGTTAAACTAACCTTACAACGGATAGTCTTCCTATACCTAAGTAAGACCTTAGGCTGTGACTTAAATCCATTCTCACACAACAGAGAGAGCTAAATGCAAATACAAAGGAATCTTTGTTTTTTTGTTTTTGTTTTTTTGTGGGTTTTTTTGAGTTGAAATCTCATTCTGTCACCCAGACTGGAGTGCAGTGGCCGCTCCCGGCCCCCGCAGCCTCGATC